ACAGGGTTTCTCTGTGTAGCTTTGCGCCTTTCCTGGAGCTCACTTGGTAGCCCAGGCTGGCCTCGAACTCACAAAGATCCGCCTGCCTCTGCCTCCCGAGTGCTGGGATTAAAGGCGTGCGCCACCACGCCCGGCCGACTTTTCCATTCTTAAGCTCAGGAAAGCCTATGTCAGGACTTCTGGCCCCAGCCCTTCCTCTCCCAGGATCCCGAGGTCGGCATCTTGGCCTGAGCTCCTTACCCACGGCCCCCACATAGGTATCCTGATTCAAAGGCAGATCCTTGAAGTCCTTCACGGCCTGCTCCACCCTCTTCATTACGTTTTCATGATGCTCGGGTGCCAGGTGGCCAGGCAGGTAACTCTGCTCCAAAGTCTTTAGCGCAGCCACTACAAACGGGTCACATATGATGCAGGGCCTCGCCGGACACAGGCAGTCGGCCAGAGCTGCCAGCAAGAGTGTAAAGCGCGGCCCCATGGAGGCCAGAGGGCCCAGCTCGCCAGCACCGCTAGAGGATCTTCTCACCCCAAAACGAGGGCGGGGTGGACGCTAAACAGAAGCCAGAAACAGTCTTAGAGGATTCCAAAGCCCCATACGAGGGTCTTTGGGAAATTCCCAAGTAAAAAGGAGACATTAACCAGAGACCCAAAGTGTGAACTCAGACCGTCCCCCAGCCCAGGAAACCTCACAACTTAGGGTCTTCATTGCATTCCTGCACACTATTAAACCAGATCCCCAACCTTACCCATTCAAACTTCACACCCATGGGCCAACTCCCAAACTCCCCCACACTCATATAACTCTGAGCCTGTACTGGATTAACATTCAGACTCTCAAGCCCTGAAAACCCCGTGACACGTGGACTAGACATTCAACAGTCAAAACCAGATAAACCATCAAAAGCCAGGGTCGACACTTAGGAAGCTGAGGCAGGAGGAAGTCAAGACCATCGTGGCCTACTTGAGATTGTCTCCAAATTAATTAATTAAATATGTAAGTAAATAATTTGTCTAGTAAATAACCAACCTGGAAACTAACAAACTAAAAAGGTCTTCAGAATAAAAAAAAAAAAATATCCTAAATCCTCGAACCTGAAGGTCCTACAAAAACTTGAGCATGCCTCCAAAGCCATGGCCCAGTTTCTGGGGTACCTGCGGACTCTCCCTCAAGACTGAGACCCCTAACTTTCAGGACACGCTCTTTTCAAGCCCCCAGTACCTTAATACACTCTTTAGCAGCAGCTCCTCAACCTTGTGCCCTCAAGCTAATGCTTCGCCCAGATACTTTATCACGACTAAGATTAAGGTTTTCCTTGGAAGACTGGGGAGAAGAATTTAGGGTTTTTCTACTGGCTCCGAGAGTTACCGGTCGCCCCCTCTTCACAAAACACTCGGGCCACATCCCACGTGGGGGACCCCAATTCCCTTAGAAATATTTCTTAGGACTCTCTTTGGCCCCACCCAGCAGTCCAACTCTAAGTTTGATTGGACTGCAACAAAGCAGGCCCCGCCCGTCCCTCCATGACGTCACAGGGTGGCCGCCCTTCCGTAGAACTTTCCCAGCACCTACGGAATGGAAGCCGCTGACCTGTTCTGGCCGCCTTTCTGGTCTTCATTGCCCCCAAGTTTACGGCAGGACGCCCTCTGGCTGGCTAGAAACCTTGGCATCCACATAAGATGTGGGAAGTGGCTAGTCCTCTAAACTGGGACTACAACTCCCAGAAGGCACTGGAGCTTCTTTCTCTATGACCAGCCCCACAGCATGGGAAACGTAGTTCAACAGACATACTCTTGTCTTCTCACCTCAAAGCCTGATAAGGGGAGATCTGGATCCAAGCTTGGTGACCCACACGTGTAGTCCTAGCACTTGGGAGGCTGAAGCAGGAAGATTGCCACAAATTCCCGGCCAGCCTGGTCTACATACTGCGTTCTAGACCAGCCTGGGCTACAGAGACCGTCTCAAGACAAACACACAAGACAGGTCTGGTAGCCAATACCGAAGTCTCCAGAGAAAGGTACTAAGGGAAAATGGACCACAAACTTAGCAGCAAAGGTTGCCAGATCTGAGTACGTACAATGTCCATGAGTCATGAATGTCCCCCAGCACGCGCACGCGCGCGCACATACACACACACACACACACACACACACTCCCACTCACAAATTGTGTTATACACGCACGCATGCAGTACACCAAAAACTTCAGATACATGGATTGCTGATGTGGCTCTTTAATTCACAGCGCCCTCTCTCCAGCCTGTACAGGGGAAAGGTACCCAGAAACTCCCTGAGATTAGATTAAATGCTATCTGAGGAAACTTCACTCTTGAAAAAGCATCAAGGATACCAGACAGCTCAGTCAAACATCCATCCTTCCTGCTCCGAGCCTGTGTCTGCTGAGCCTTAAGCTGGCTTCAGGGGTCTGGAACACCTTCAGACCCTTCACCCTGGGCCTTCTCAAAGCTGGATTTAGTGGCTTTGTGAGCCCAGGGGCACACCCTTGTTTTTTTTATTTATTTATTTATTTATTTATTTATTTATTTATTTATTTATTTAATGCCGAATGCCATTTATTGAAGGAGGGAGGAGGTCTTAAATACAGGCTTACAGCACAATGGGAGAACCCCGGAAGGCAGAAGTTCACTACCGATGTTTTATAATCTAAGCTGTTAATGACCATTATTCAGGATACACAGACAAGGAACTTCCCTTAAGCATTCAGGAGGGCGGAACCCGGCAGGGACGGCAGGGAATTAGCATAGGGAGGATATCCAGCACCCTTGTTTTCTATAAGCCTGGTGGCTTCCAGAAAACAGACCCCAGGGGACCTGTAGCATCAGAGAAGAAATCTCCTTGATCCTAAAGTCAGGGCTAATCTATTTCTTTAAGTTTTCCGCTCTTTTTAAAGAAGTCCCTGGATTTTTAGGAGACCCTGCTCCGGCAAGTACAGCCCCTCAGCAGTCCCTTCCTCTCCTCTCCCCCATAGTTTAGCCCATTTACTGTCCCCACCCTAAATAAGTCTGTGAGGTTTCTCTGGGGCCGAGGGGTTGAGCAGAATTCAGGTCTGCTCAAGTCCCCTTCTTTCTGACATGACGCTAGCTCTTTAAAGGGTCTTTCACATGGCTCCAGGTTTGCAGCAGGGGAGTGGTACGTACAGTGTTTGCATGCACCTTCATTACACGTTCCACTTTCTACAGTGCTGGCAGGACGCCCCCTGCAGTGTGCTGTGCATGCACACACGCACGCACGCACGCTCGCACACATGCACGCACGGGACCAGACTCTCAGAAACAGCCACCAAGCCCCCTAGAATGGAGTCAGGAGTTTCTTCTCTCCCGTAATCCAGAAGTTCTACGAAGGTAAGCTGGGTGGGTGAGGAGAGGACTGTGCCTCACAGGGCTAACTTGGACTTCTCTGGCCATTAGACAATGATGTTCTGTTGTACTATCTTTAGAACATTCCTGCATTTCCAGAAAGTCTGGAAATGAGCGCCCACCAGCTCCTGCACTACCACAGACACATTCCAAAAGCCACAAGTCTCTAGAGATACAAATGGATGACTCTAGATGGCTCAAACCAATCTTAAAAGACTGTCTAGCTCCCAAGGGTCAACCTGAGCCTGAAGTGGGGACAGGTCTGCGTTAATGCCCACCCACTCGGGAAGGAAGGCGGCCTTAGGCCTGAAGATCTTCAGAAATTCCGAGTCTGGCAGGGTGAAGTTGGCGAGGTAGACAGTGTCTCCACCAGCTAAATAGGCGGCCCAGAAGCCAAAGGTACCAATAGTCATGATGGTGTGGTTACACTGTGTAAGCAGTGCAAAATCTCTGCCCGGTGTACTCTCTTGTCCATTGCCAGCGAAGACCACATCACCGCGGGACGTGTCAATATTCTCCAAACACCATTTCATGCCATTGCTGGTGACCACAAAGATGGGGTCTTTGTGTCGGGCCCGGAACCAGTCCATGGCTTGCTGGAGGTAAGCTTGGTCACCCACCACACCTTTCCAACGATTGGGCATCACTTCCAGATAGTCCCCACGACGCACGTGGACACCCACAAAGGTGTGAGGGCGGATGCCCGAGGAGCCCAGCCGGAGCCCACTCAGCAGGTGCTGGGCACCTTCCCGAAGGTGGTCATGCAGGGTGAACTCCCTGCGGATCTGTGCCCGGAGGTGGTGGAAAAAGGTCCAAGAGCAAGGGAAACCGGACAGCTTGAGAAAGGGGTCCTCCAGATGGGAGTACTCCTCTGACATCCAGTCATGTAAGACTAAATGCTGCCACGGCGTGAGGCTGTCCACCTCAGGGTCCAGCACGGGCAGGGAGATGCGGAACACAGGGGCCAGGGTGGCATGCATCTCAGGATGGATGAAAGCTTGGCGGCCATTGAGCTGGGCCAGGGCCAGCAGCGTGGCATACTGCCCCATCTGGTTACCGAACCTGCCTCCTGGGGAGATGGTCCAAGTCCCAGAGAGAGAGGAGAACTGTCCGGGACGGGAAGGGGAGGCATTGACTCTCTGCAGTGGGTGGGGCAAGCATACCATGGCCACTGGGGACTTGAGCAGGTGGTAGTCTGGACACAGGAGAGAGAGGGTTAGCCCATTTCGAAAGAAGTTTCCTCCCTGCAGGTGGAACAAGAAGAAGCCGGTGGAGAGCACACAGACCAGCAAGAAGGCCAGGCAGAGCTGCCGCCGACTGGGGGTCCACATGGCTGTAAGAAGGAAAGGTGGATTAGAAGGCACACAGTGTGAGCCCCAGAGTCTGGGACCCCTCCGAGTCTGGGAGCTAAAGTGAGCAACTCCTGGGTCAGAAGTTGGGAGCCTAAATCCAGGGTGGTAAAGCTTTACGTCTCTAGGGATGGGATCGGGAGACACGTGAATGAGTGGCTGGCTGCAAAGGCCTGCTGGGAACATGGCATCTCGATACTTTCTCGGGTGTACCTATATGGAAGGGGCACATTCTACCTCCACAGGCCAGGGGAAGCCCAGGTAAGGAGGAGGATTTTAGAATTGCACAAGCAAGCCCCTGGGTGTGGTATAACTTTCCCTGTGAGATAGGAATGAATAAATTTATCCCACATAAGGACCAGTTACATCCTAGAGAAACGATTCAACCCAAGTCTGTCAGGCTTGGTAAACACAAGAGCTCGGGTGAATCCAAGGCAGCTGAACATCTGAAAAGCCCACTGCAAGCATCCGGGTAGGAGCCTTTGAACCTTGGAACTATGACTGGTTTAGTTTCCTGAGTCAAGAGCCTTGCTGTGGCAGGAGGAAGAGATTCTTAGGGGAAGGTAGGGATTGGAATCCAGGTTTTGAGGAAGACTGGGAGAGGGTTAGAGTGGCCGAGATACCCTCCTCATCCCCAGGGCTCTGGCATGCCCAGTGCGGACTAACCTGAGCTCCTTGCCGGTGGTACAAACGGATTCTTCTAGTCTGAGCTTCCAGTCCCAAAATAGAGCCTTCATCGGCCGCGCTTGGAGGCCAGGAGCCCCGGCTCCGTAGCCCTCCCCTCTAGGCTTCCTTCCTGCAACTGACTGAGAAGGCTGAGGGCTTGGAGACCCGTTGGGAGACAGAGAAAGGGAGAGAGAGAACCGCACGGTTCCAAGGTGCGCAGCCTCCGCCCTTCGGGCCGGCAGGTAGCAGGAGGCGGAGCCGTTCTACTGCCGCCTCACCGGATCTCAGGTGCGGGAGGCGCAACGCCCTGTCCCCCGCCCAGGTGGATGGGTGCCGCGCCCCTTCTCCCTTCCTCTCGGATCACTGACGCCACGAAGGGCAGCCCAATTGGTCCCCAGAAGTTGCCACACCCTCGGCATGGACCCGGGGAGTAGCGCCCGGCTGCAAGGCTGAACCCGGGAGCTCGGGTCCCACGCGCGTCTCCTCCTCCGGTGCCGGTGCCGAGACTTAGCGTCTGCTCCCCTTACCTGGGTACTCTGGGAGTAGCCACGCCCCCGGGGAGCAAGGTCTGGACACCCGCCGCCTCCTCCAACCACTCCAGCTGCACCCTCCCCGGAGGATGGAGAACCTGTTTGCCAGCTGCCACAGCCCCAGCACCAGCCGCTCTGCCTGGCGTCGAGTACACACCACCCAGTCTTCGCCCCAAAGCTCCTAAAGTCTGGAGTCCAAGCTGTTACTTCCTAGACTGGCAAATGGAGCACGTAACTCTTTCTGACTAGGAAGAGGTGGAATGGGTTATCTAACTTTCTTTCTGGGCAAGCAGGTGGTGTGGCCGGGGAGGAAGGCCCTAGCCCTCCTGGTGTCCTGAGCCTTTAATTATGCAGAGTCGGCCCGACAGCCTCGCCCTTACCTGAGCATTGACACCTTACAAAGATTCAGGAATTCCACTTGGCTGGTCCAAGATTAGATCATTTCTCCAGGCTGCCGAAGCTCAGGCCGGCCTCAGACCTGAAGGTCCATTGCCCAGCCTCCTGCCTCCCTTAGCCGCTCCCTCAGTCCCTAGGGCCCAGGCTCAGGCTTCTTCCTTCAAAGCCAGGGATTTGCCCCAGCATGCCTTTGGCTGCAAGAAATCTCGCCCTCACAGGTCCTGGCGCGGTGGGAAAGAGACTGACCCCACCCATCCCCCAGGACATCTGGGGCGCACCAGTGCTGGACCGTCTCTGGTGAAAGAAGCTTTGGGATTGCATCAGGGAGGCCGGCAGTTGAGCCCAGCACCTGAGTGCTGAGCAGGGAGTGCTGAGGGTGAGTGGCCTGGGGCCAGCTGGGAGACTTCCACCTGTGGACTCCTCTGTCACACAGCTGATTTCCCGGGGATTAAAGAAAGACTCAGAGCCCCAACACCCCTTGAACCTTGAAATTCAAATAGGGTGGACTACACAGTTCAGTTGCTTACACAGAATGTCTGAGGCCCAGGGCTCCTTCTTTGTACCCAGGAGCCAGATGACCCCAG